GGCCAGGCCATCCCTCTACTCACCCACACCCCCTATTATTCTGCGGCGACGACAGCCTCACACCGCAGTCGTGCGGGCTTCCACTGTCGTGTCTTCCCCGGCTCCGCGTCGTCCCCTTCCTAGGCCTCACCGTCGTCCACCGCCCTGGTGCTCTCGACGCGACGTGGTTAACGTGATCAAGGAACAACTTCCATCGAAAGAGTACTGTACGTGGAGAGGCTGACAGCTGGGTCCACGACAGCCGCAAGGAAGTGCCTCCTTACTGCGTGCAAAATAATTATTCCTCCACCTGACAGCAGGGACCCATCGGACGGGCCACCGTATTTTGCAAAAAAAAATGTTTCCCCCCTGACTGCTGGGACCCACCAGCTACATCTTCGCATGCAAGGAAGTGCGTCCATATTATGGGCAAAAAAATGATTTGCCCCCTGACTGATGGGACCCACCATCTACATCTTCGCATGCAAGGAAGTGCCTGATAGTCGGGACCCATCTGGTCGAAGCGTACGTAGCGTTTTCATTCTGGTCGCGAACGTGTACATACATACTAGTCGATGTAGAGGGTGCACGTGTCGTAGTACAGGCGGGCATGTGTCATAGTAGAGGCACGCACATAGCATGTACACGTACGTACAGCGGCCAGGCTGCAAGAAAGTAAATACGGTCACGTACGTACATACAGGCGGGGTCTCGAATGCCTACTCACGCATACATACGGCCACGGCTCGTGTACATGGCTGGGTCGGAACGAAAAAACTATGTCGTCTTCATGGGGAGGCAAGGGAATGTGTTGTGTTCATCGGGAGGCAACGGAACGCGTGTTGTTCATCGGGAGCCAACCGGCTTGAACAGAACAGCCGATGGAAACGAGGCCTGGCGTACCGCAGAACGGAGGAAACAGCCTTGTGTTCGACCAGCCATGGTTGAAATGGGATCATGTTCATCGGGAGGGGTCTGGCATACCGCAAAACGGAGGAAACAGACTTCTGTTGGACCTCCTACGGTAAACGGGGTCATGTTGATCGGGAGGGATATGGCATACCGCAAAATGAAGAAAACAGACTTGTGTTGGAGCGCTACGGTCGAAACGGGGGTCCTGTTCATCGGGAGGGGTGTGGCATACCGCAAAATGGGACTCCACGGGATACTGTTCATCTCCACCGTCGACCTCCTCCAGCCTCCACGGGCTACTGTTCATCCATCATCGACCTCCTCCAGCCCCCACATGCGACTGTTCATCCACGAGCTCCTGTTCATCCAGCCTCCACCGCGCACTCCTCCACCGACTACTGTTCAACCAGCCTTCTCCACGGGGTCCTGTTCAACCACCCCTCCACGGGCTATTGTTCATCCAGTCCTCCACCGGCTACTGTTCAACCAACCCTCCACTGGCTACTGTTCAACCTTCCCTCCACGGGGTCCTGTTCATCCAGCCCTCCACGGGGTCATGTTCATCCACGCCCAACCAACTCGATCGATCGGGGTCTTGTTCATCCAGCGGCAACACCACGGGGTCCTGTTCATCCAACCCCCACCGGGAACTGTTCATCCACCCCCCCACACACACACACAACAACAACAACGCTCATTGTTCATTCAGAGGCAGCATTGATCGGCTTCAGTTAGCAGCAGTAGCGAAGGAATCGCTGATCGCTTGGGTTCAGTAACACGTAGCCTACAATGCAATCGTTCGGGTTCAGTTAGGCGAACGCCTCGCTCGGGTTCAGTTAGAGCCCAACGCTTCACACCCACGCTCGTACGTGTACGAGAGAAACACGCATCACTCGGCCCCCGACCACCCACCGTAACTGGGAACTCCCCGATATTTTCCTCGCCCTCGCTTCTACCACGATTTTTTCCGTCATGCACGGCCCAAAGAATGTCAGGCAGCTGCGTCTCCGGCCCGCCCAGGACAAAAAGCACATTTTCTGTCATGATTTTTTTCATAAAAGTAGGAGCCCACCACATCTATGGTGATACCGGGTTTTGTCACAATTATCGCCATAGAAGTGTCATAAGTATGACAGAAAAAATTCTTCGGCCCAAAATGTCACAGATGTGTCTTTTTTTGTAGTGGGGTCTGCTAGGCCTCCAAGATATGTGTTGGTTGAGCCCAATGTTGTTGTTGCTGTGCACATAAGGAAGCTATCAAGGTCGGGAAAGAAAAGATGATTGGGAGGGGAACTCCATGAAATGGCAATTGTTCATGTCTACCATCATGCTTAATAAGATGTGTGAGATCATAGTGAGTGGGGTAAGGACTAACAAGGACTTCAAGGAGGTGCACTTGAACTATGTTGCCAAGAAGGTGTTCGTGTTTTGTGGCCAAGAGGTCACCTTGGCCTAGGTATCCAATCACCTTAGGAAGTGGATAGCCAGATAGATCCTAGCGTCCAAGCTCAGAGACCTTACCGACACACAATGGGATCAAGACACTTACACGATCCTGTTGGAGGCAGAGCACTACCAAGGCTACACCATGGTTAGCTCACATACCACTTGCTTAAGCTTGTCTAACATACCAATCACAACTAACCACATTATGTTTCTTTCTTAGGACCACCCTAAGGACGCAGAGTTCCTCAACACTCCCATCCAGAACTACTCGCAGATGGATGAAATCTTCTCCTATGGGCTAGCTACCGTGGAAGCATGATATGAACTCTAGTGAGACACTCAGTTCGCCTATGCCTAAGTATCCAGACACCCAGGAGTCACAGACTGTCGTCCTTGATGATCCTAATAAGAGTGGTGATCACGTTCATGTCCTTGATAGGAAGAGGAAGAGGGATGGTTTGATGGAAGAGGAGCTCATCATCTTTAGCAGCATGGCTGACGCGGTCAAGGAGGTGGAAACCACCATTATGGAGAGCAAATCAGTCGACGTCCACCCTAACATGTGCAGCGCCTTCATGGAGCGAGGTGGCTTCAGTCCGGAGGCTCTAATGGCTGCTTTTAGCCACCTACTGGACAATAGGGCACAAGGTGTTAGGTTCGTTACCCTGGGGGCCGCTCATAGGGTGCTCTGGCTTAGGACTTGGCTGGGCAAACACTACTACTAGTGTTGTTTCTGTTGGTGGTGATAGTCTACATGATGATCGACAACGATGATGATGTACATTTTATGGTAGCTAGAGCTTGAAAACTGTGTATATTTTGATGATGTAATGTATACTAACCCCTCACGTCGATGGCAAGCTTGCGGTGATAGGATTACACTCTCTTTTGGATGTGGTGGTACGATGACACCATAGTCGTTAGGATGAACTTGCTCTGCCTTTATGATCATGCATGCCTAAGTTTTTTTGTTCCATGTGTAGTGTGTTCCTTTTGTTGCTACTTGAATTGTTGTTATTTTGCCATGCCAGGAGTAGTGTGTGGTGTATATAGGAAGGGTTTCAGAGATTTACAGTTTTTTTGAAATGGTAACCAGGATGAAGGATCCCCACAAGGATATATTTCAAAGTGGCGAAAATGCCATGAGACTGATCCAGTTTATAAGGAAAACCGGATCGAAAACCTAAACAAGTCGACCCCATTTATGAGAAAAATCGGGCCGAAAAACCATACAGCAAGGGTAAAAGAAGAAGAGAAACCAAAAACATTGGACGCCCGAGACAAGGCACGCCTAGCTAGCAAACCGAAGGACATCGCCTCGAGGCACAAATAGACAAGGGGAGTCGTAAATGAATCACAATACCAATTTGATAAGCAGCCTAACGCACCACACGAGCGTGCGTACCGAGCACCACGGTGCAACAGAGGAGCATCCACATCAACAAGTGACTAGCACGAACCTTGACACGGCATTCCGCCATGGAAAATCGGGTACCGAGCAACACGGAGATTTACATTTCATGGAGAACAAGTGACCCGTTACAGAGATGTTTACTCCAAATTTGTGCTTAAGCAGACAAGCAATGTTAAAAATGGGCAAGCCTCATGATCAATTTGGCCTGTGTGGGATGAAAAATTTCATCATCACTAATAGGCAAGCCACCAAACCATGGACACATATACAAGGGGCAAAAAACCATGTACGCAACCAAAAGCGTCCCAAATATTCAGCCCGCCCATTGTAAACTTGCCCCAATGGAGGCGTCGCCGAGGCGTGTGCGCCATGCCCCTCGCTCTCTTGGAGTTGGCAGTTGTCTCCGGGCGAAAGCCTCGATTCAATGTTGGGTCAGCACATTGGCGGCGTCCTCGGCGTCATATCTCTGTTGGGAGCTTTGTGTGTGAAGACATGGTTGGGTCCTTATTGCTCTCCTCCGGTGTTCGCCATTGTCCTCTGTTGGTCCTATGCGGTGCAATGTACGCTCGTCGCTGGTGTCTCCAAGATGGTGTTTTTCTTAGATTGAAGCAAGTCCTACCTTCCACTTGCCACTTCCTCTTAGGCGCTCGGAGTGGATGGTGCGTCGACAAGCAATGTTCTACGAAAAGTGGTGGTCTTCAAAGGCGTCCGACGTCGGTCGAGACGCGGTGTGTGTGTTAGTTTTGTCCGTCTGTGAACTTGGTTGTGAGCGGTGTATTGTATGCTACGCTCGTTGTTCGCAGCGAGTGATAACCTCTTGTAATTTTAATTCTGCCTTCTATAAAGTTATGGTACGCCTAGGCGTACTCTAGGTGTACTCTTGAAAAGAAAAAATAAACTTGCCCCCAACGAGCACAGGTAAACTTGCCCCCAACGAGCACGGGTCGAACATATATAGCTGACGGAACTACCAAGGTGACGGGTGAGCATTTAACAGGCGGAGTTTGCCTAATGCGATTTCTGAATTCAGATGCGTGGTTCAGTTAAAATTAGCCTTTAGCCCCGTTGTCCCAAGAACCAAAATCACACAATGGGTTTGTTACATCAGGAATTTTTTTGACACGAATGCTATCACACGCCTACAACAGCTAAATCAGTCATCAGTTCACCACGCACGCCTGAATTCAGACGTTGCAATCCACGTCACCCAACCAAACACAGTCATATCGACAACACGAACGCTCTACCGTCACCTCCCGTCGTGGTACTCGCAGTGGGCGGCGACGCCGGGCACGGGCTTGCCGAGGTGGGCCTCGCGGACGTCGAGGCGGCAGACGCCCCGGCGGTAGAACTTGGAGCGGAGGAGGAGGCCAAGGATGTGCGCGCGCGCCCGGAGCACGAAGGCCAGCCTGACTGGCACCACCGCGGGGCCGAGGCGGCCGTTGTTGGGCTTGCTGTGCAGGTTGGCGCCCGCGCCGTAGAGCGGGACCTGCTTCCCCACCACGGACACCGTCACCACCCGCCCGCTCTTCCGCGCCTGGTAGAACTCCTTCATCTGCATGCAAACCCAAACACAACGTGGACGCTCGTCATTCATGCAAACCCAACGAAAATTGTATGGAGATTGCAGGTAATTTCTGCTGCCGGATGAAACCGGCTCTACTCTGCCACGCTTTTTACCGTCTTATCCAGAAGCCAGGAGCAAGAATGTACTTGCCACGGATAACACTATTGTGCTAATTACTCGGAGCAAAAGTCCATGATGGGGGCTGGCTTTGCCTGCGCACTGGGGGCCATCATCTTGTTGCCCAGCACAGGATTCCCTCCTCGCGAGCAGCAGGAGCAGAAAAGTGCACGGCCAAATTAACTACGAGGCTAAAGGCGTGCTGTCTGAAACCCAGAAAAGCAGTAAAGGCGCAGCGTCCTTTGGAGGCGTCCTTTGGAGGCGTCGTGAAAAAGCTTGAACAGTCTCGCATTCGCATTGGCTCTTTGCCAACGGCAGCAGCGCCGTAGCCTGTGTGCAGCGGCGTGGCGTGGAGCATGCTGCAGCAGGCAGGCACACTAGTCGTTCTCCGTACCAGTACTCGCCCATTGCAGAGGACGCCGGCCTACGAGGAGAGGGGAGAGGAGAGAGGAGCGCGTTCATATCGGCTTGGCCTCCCTGACTTCCGTCACGTGAACGCCATGCCAGAGGAACGCTCCGGTCTCACCTCGCGGCTGGTTGTTCACACTGTTGGGTACAACTTCAACTTAATCACGTGCAGTTCCCTATCGGTTTCAAGAAAACAAATTAAAGCTCTACAGTAGCTCAGTCCTCTGCTGGTAATTGACAGATGATTTGTTCCTTGCGAAGTGTGAATCACAACCACAAGGTCTTCACTGGGTGTCTGCATAGCAGATTAGTGGATTTGACTCGAGCAAACTTCCTAGAGTTAGGAAGTTTGACCAAGTTTATAGAAAATAATATAAACATTTATCATAACGAATCTATATGATGTGAAAGCACATTCAACAAAGAATATAATGGTATTGATTTGTTATTGTATATGTCAAGATTTTTGTTTATAAACAGTGTCAAAATTTACAGAGCTTGGCTTTGATCATAACTAACACGTGGACTAAATAAAAACGGAAGGATTAGAGCAACTCCAATGGGGCGACCCATTTCGTCCGCCGCCGTCCGTTTGAGTCGGCGCGGACACAAAAGATGGCCCAACGCGCCGACCCAAACGGACGCGCGTCCGTTTTTCGTCCGCGGGCGACCCATTTCCGACCCGTTTTTGAGCTGGATTTGCGTCTGCGCGGACACGCGACGGACGCGTGCACGCTCGCCTTCTCCTCCTCCAGGCCCGCTAGTCGGTGGCACATTGGCCTCCCTCATCCAACAGCAACCCTCGCCCGCCTCCTTCTCGCCGCCGCCA